AAAACTGAGTGGAAGGTAAATTGGGGCTTGAGTAAAACAGTACTGGGGAAAAAAATTAATAGAGCAGAGGAAGCCATTTTGAGCAAGAGATTTGTATGTGGAAAAACGGTTCATGTTCTCTTTTGGTTCACTACAGCCAGGCACTTACAAAGATTGAAGTAGTATGCAAATTAGGACTATATATGTATTTTGATATGTAAATTATCTTTTTAAAATTTTATTTTTAAAAAATATTTTATTATTTTTATATGTATGAGTGTATTGCCTGCATGTATGTGAGTGTACCCATGTCATGCAATGCCGTGGAGATCAGAAGAGGGCGTTGGATTCCCCTGGAACTGGAGTTAAAGACCGTTCCATAGCTGCCGTGTCAGTGCTAGGAATTGAACCCAGGTCCTCTGTAAGAGTAGTCAGTGCTCTTAACTGCTGAGCCATCTCTCCAGCCTGTAAATTATCTTTAAAGATAGATTCATAATATGTAATTCAAAGAACATCAACCTATACTTTCTGAGTCAATTTTTTCCTTTTTTTTTTTTTTTTTGGTGGGGACAAGGTCTCGCTATTGTAGCCTTGGCCGGCCTGGAACTTGCTATGTAGACCAGTATGGTCTTGACTCAAAGATTTGTCTGCGTATGGTTTGAGAGTGCTGGGATTAAAGGCGTGTGCCATCATGCCCAGCTCAATTCTCTTTTTTTTCTTTGAGACAGGGCCTCGCTGTAGCTCCAGCTGACCTGGAATTTTCTATGTAGACCAGGCTGGTCTCAAATGCACAGAGATTGGCCTGTCTCTGCCTCTCTGTCTCTTGAGTGCTGAGATTAAAGGCATGCGCCACCATGCCTGGCTCAGTTCTCTTTTGAACCCCACTTCCCAGTGCAGAATAAATTGCTTCTTCATCTGTATTCCCATAATTAATTTTAATTTATTTTGTGTGTGTGCGTATTGTTTATTTGTGTATGTGTGGGGGCATGTGTATGCCACAGTGCATATACAGAGGTGAGAGGACAGCTTTCAAGAGTTGGTTCTCTTATTTCCATGGTGTGGGTCCCTGGGATTGAGTTGGTGTCATCAGGCTTTTCAGGAAATGCCTTTACCTGGCTGAACCAGCCCTAAATCAAGTTTTTATTGAATTTTAATATACATACAGATAAAAAATAAGAGAAAATATTAATGTATTTTCACAAAATCATCAGTATTCATTTGTGACCAGCATCTTTGTGAAAGTAGGAAACTAGAGAATGTTACTAGCATCCATTAACAGATTGTTCATTATTTCTGTACAACAATGTAACATATTTTTTGAGCTGATTTTATATATGACTTTGTCATATGTGTGTACGAGAGAGGGAGACATAGAAAGAGAGAGACATCTAAACAGGATTTTCTACCTGTAACACCATGTCATTTGTGAATAGGGATAATTTTGTTTCCTCTTCAGTTTGGATTCCTTTTTCTTTCCTACTTGCTTTGGTTAATACTTCAGTACTAAGTAGATGGGATAAGAGTGTATATTCTCAGGCAGGTAAGACAGCGGATAACAGGACTCCACACAATCCTGATAACCTTAATTCAGTCCCTCGAACCTACAATGGAAAGAGAGAACTGATTGTTAGAGTTAGCCTGTGTCCCATACATGTGCCCATACTTAAACACATAGACAATAATAAATAAATAACTTTTTGATTAAAAAAGAGTAGTCTTGCTTTGTTTCTGATATTAGAGGGAAAACCATTCTTTAACCATTTAGTATGATATGGGCTGTGGACTTGTCAAATGACATTTATTATTTGGAGGTACTTAAGGACGCTGTGTTTTAAATATTACTGTGTTCCTGGTGCTAACTACAGTTTGACATCATTGTTTTTTAATTGATTTTCCCTCTCTGCAGCTGAAGAGGATGAAGATAAAGAAGATGATTTCCGAGCTCCTCTTTACAAAACAGTTGAGATCAAGGGCATCCAGGTGCGCATGAAATGGTGTGCCACCTGCCGCTTCTACCGTCCTCCTAGGTGTTCCCACTGCAGTGTCTGTGACAACTGTGTAGAGGTAAGAGCACTGGGTGGGTAAAACTCGGTGTTCATTTTAAGGTGTTCTCTTCCTGACAGTAGAGTAGATTCTGGAAGTGTAGTCCTGGCTAAGTACCTAATCCAGTATAGTCCAGCTCAGTCAAAAGGTGTTAGTGCTAGGTCTGGCGGTGTAGGCTTTTAATCCCAGCATTTGGAGGCAGAGGCAGGTGAATTCCTGTGAATTCAAGGTCAGCCTGGTCTACATAGTGAGTTCCAGGCCAGCTAGGGCGCTCTCAAAAAAAAAAAAAAAAAAAAAAAAAAAGCTGAAAACAAGGTGCCAGCAAACAAACACAGGAGAGTGTGAATATAGCCACTACATGAAGGAGCTTTGACTCCCGCCGCAAGTGTCCTAACCCCAAGGATCCTAGTTTAGCCTTCTGTTTCCTGGTTACCCTTGATTATTTATCTCTTTAGCATTATTCTCATCCATAAAAGCATGTTTGTGTGTTCAGATGTTTTGTTTTCCTAGCTGTCCATTTCCATTGTTTTATTTTTATTCCTCTTAAATAATCTTTAATGTTTACATTTTTTTTGACATTTGGTTCTTTGTTCGCATAGTTTTGTTTTTTGTTTATTTTTTTAAATTAATTTTTACTTTATATGTATGAGTGTTTTGCCTGCTTGCATGTTAGCACACCCATGTTGTACAAAGCCCACAGAGGCTGGAAGAGGGTATTGGATCTCCTGAAACTGGAGCTACAGACAGTTGTTAACCACCATGTGGGTGCTGGGAATAAACCCAGGTCCTCTGCAAGAGCAACCAGTGCCCTTAACTGTTGAGCCATCTCCAGCCCCTGTTTATTTATTTGCTTTTTAGCCCTGTTTGCCTGGAATTTGCTATGTATGCCAGGCTGACCTCAGACTTGTGATCCTCCTGTCTATATCCCAGATGCTGGGGTTGTAGGCATATACTCACTGTGCCTAGCTTAGGATAAACTTTTGAAGAACTTGGCCTTTGACCAACCTATGGAATGTTTCTCATATAAGTTAACATAAAGCAGGTAAAACTGCTTTTATTTATTTATTTATTTATTTATTTATTTATTTATTTATTTATT